TGAATGCCCAGCTTGTGCATGGCACACTTGCCGTTATGCACTGCTAGTCCGTAGCCGGCAGACGCACCCATGGCGGGTGCTGGGGCCTTCAATATTCCTGCCCTGCGCAGGCGATTTGGGCCCTACATAAATACATACCTACATACATACATACATACATACATATATACATATATACATACATACATACATACACACACAGACGTACACTGTGTGGAGTCATTCGCACTTGTTGCAGACACACCAAGGTGCGTGCGCACACAAAGACGCACACTGAAGTTTGGACTTTATTCACCAGCCTCCAAGACTGAAAGCCGAAGCGTGTTCGTGTTCAGTTTCGGATACCTGATGTCAGCATTCAGGGTATAGGCCGTAAAGACGTCAGACAGAAGTTTGCATAGAGCATGCTTCAGGGTTTCCGGTGTTTTTGAAGTTGAGAGTTTACATCCGCGAGCACCGTCAGAATGGACATAATGGTGGCCTTCAGGCTTGGCAGACACGGACCTTGCCGAAGCCTCGGCAACCTGTGAGATTTTTCAGCAGGGGTTTTGCGCAGCTTCGGCAACACAACACATCAGCCGCGTCCGCACAAAGAGAACTCTCACGGTTTATCGTAAGTGCATGTCCCAGGTGGAGGATGTAGGCCGCAAGACTTCGGGATCATGGACCGGGCCTATGCAAGAGCAGAAGCTAATCGTGATTGGAATTTCGGGACATGGAGCCAACGAGCGATATCATGACAGATTCCCCGAATGCTTTGCATTGTAGTAAAGTGGATGTCTGTCAAAGTGAATGTCTTTTTCAGAGCAGGTACGTTGCCGGCAGCCCTACGGTAGAACCTGTCGGCTGTAGAGTGCGTAAATGGATAGATACTGTGAGTCCTGCTCGTCTCAATTCCATCTGACCTGCCGAGGGATCGCTCGGGCAATCCTCCGCCGAGGCGTGGCAGCGTGTCTGTCGGAACTCCGGCTAGTATCATCATCAAAAAGTGCGCTGTCGCTTCAGCTCTTCATATGCTTACTTTGTAAATCGGAATGCAGGGTGCAGTGAACAATATAGAGGAGAGAGTAACCAGAATAAGCACGGACCTCAAACTGAGAGGCCTAGATCTGGAAGCTGTGACAGTGCTGCCTGGGGAGTGCTCAAGGGGACTGAGAGTTTTGCATCACAAAGATGCCCACGTCAAGTTGAGGCGGTTCAGGTTCCCCATGTAGTTCTCTGGGTGCAGCTGCTGTGCAACTACTGTATTGGTTTCTCCTTCCTCGGTCCTAAAAGCTGGAGTATGTGCATGTCAGCTGCAGCATTCTCTGGACTGCACGCCCATGGCAGCGTGCAGCATCCCGAGCCGATGACGACTTGAGCGCAGGCACACTGATTCGCCGAACATGAGCTTAGCGGACCGGGCGGAAGTGGTCGAGTTGCACTTTGAAGAGACATATCCCCTGCGTGAGCGTGTTCTCTGGCCCGGTCGACCAGACCTTGCAGCGCTCTCTTGCGATGCACAAGGAAAGCACTTCGGCTTACGGCTGCCAAGTGAGACACGCGACGAGCTTGTGTCCGTGGTGTCTGTCTTTGCCAGCGATGATGGCCGGGAGGCGCAGTTCAGAAAGTTTGCGACTGCGTCCGAGTATCAGGGCCAGGGTCTTGGGTCCAAGCTGCTGCTGCATATTATCGAGGAAGCGAAGCATCGTGGCGTGCAGCGGCTTTGGTGCGACGCGCGCACGGCACAAGCTCATTTCTACGAGAAACGGGGAATGCGGGCTGTGGAAGGTGGCGCCACCTTCCTCAAGAGCGGTGTAGAATACATTCGGATGGAAATGCTGCTGTGATCCTCTGCAAAAGTCGCTGTTGCGTTTCAGCTGCTGCTATTGCTCTTGCTCTTGTTCTGGTTCTTGCAGTTGTTCTGGTTTTCGTGGTCGTGCTCCGTGACTCATCCTCGCCCCGGCAGCCTGGCAATTTCTCCTTGTCCACGTAGTTGTAGTCGTCGTCATCGGTGTTGTTCTCCTTGATACTACTTGTCGTCATCGTCGTCGTTGTGGTTGTTGCCGTGGTTGTGGTTGTGGTTGTGACACTGGTTGGTTGTTGTTGAGGTTGTGGTTTGGGGTTGCAGTTGGGGTTGGGTTTTTTCCTGTGGTTGTTGTGGTTGTTTTTGATTGCGGTTGTTGTTGTTGTGGTGGTGGTGGTGGCGGCGGTGGTGGTGGTGCTGATGATGATGCTGCTCAGGATGCGAGTCCTTGCAGCAAAACCTATGACCTATGAGCCTCCAGCACATTCCCAGCTTTGCCAGGTGTTGGGACCGCCCTTTTCTTGGATGGCTGGGCCGGGCTCCTCGAAGTTGTAGGGCCTGGTGAAAGCAAGCTCCAGCAAACTGCAGTTCTAAAATTCGTTGGGATACCATCTATCACGGGAGGTTGATTTTCAGGGCCATGTCCGAGCCTCAGTGCTCAGTTCAATGCTTGGTATTGTTCATTCCTGTATGCCTGCAGTATCATATCATGAGCCAAGCTGCTTATGCCTATTATTGAAACTTTTGACGTTAACCTGTTGGGGCAGTTGCTTTGTCAACAAACTTAAGTCGAATGTGCTATCGCTTCGCAACAACAAAATAGTACAATAATGTGGTGGAGTCTAATATGCGAGGCTGCACTATACTATACTATATTGTACTAGACTAGACTATACTATACTATACTATACCACAATATAATAATCCAATATATCATAGCATACATATATATATATATAAACAGAAATAAACAAATAAAGAAATAAATAGATAAATTCAATATATGAGAACACAACCTAATATAACAAGTATAAGAAATAAAAATAATATATTAAAACACGCTACCATGTAGTATAATATGACATGATACAGTATGATACAGCATGACCTAATATGATATAATACGATATACTATGGCACCACATGTTACATAATACATAAATAATGAAAGCAGTTGGTGCTGATGGGCAATAGACAGCAGTGCTCTGCGGGCTCGAAAGAATAGAACATTACATAATGCTACATAATACAATGCAGTACAATACAATACAATACAATACAGTACTGTACGGTACAGTACAGTACAATACAGTATACTACCATACAGTACAATAGTTTAGATAATGTGTAGGGATGGATGGATGGATGGACATGGATGGAGGGATGGATGGATGGATGGCTGGATGGATGCATGGATGGCTGGATCGATGTGTGTGTGTGTCTGTGTGTGTTGGTATGTATATGTATGTGTATATATATATATACACACACACATACATATAGATGCACGCGCAACTATATGCACATCCTCTTTGGGCGGGTGCGGATTTTTTCGGCCGCTGGGACTTCCCGCTTCGATGCGAGGGACAGTACAAGTTTGAGTTTCTGCTTGCCGAGGGCACAGTGGTCCAAGGAGCAGGGAGGCCGGAAAATCTGAGCTGTATTGGGATTTAGAGTTTCGGTGTTAGAAGGAGGAATCTCAGGCAGCTTAGGAATGTTTTGGACCTCTGGTGCCTTGGGATGGCGGTGCGTTGGATCGGCGAAGTCAATACGACTCGCAGATTTTATGCAGCATTTTGGCTGCACCAAAGTTTGTGATGCCCGGCCCCTGGTGCACGCGAAGCAGGGGTGGCACATCGTGACATTCAACGGACCGACATTCCGCATTCCTTACGGTTAAGGTTGTAGACGCTAATACGCCCCTGGAAACTGTCGTCACTTTCGATACTCCCCTCACGACGTGGAGCCGACTCAGAGCCGCAAGCAGGAGACGAGGCGACAGTGCCAGTCGAGCAGGAGGTGGGACGCTTTCAATCGTTGTCGTATTCCAGGCGTCGTGATAGCACCAGCAGGAGGAAGAAGAGAAGGCAGTAGTAGTAGTGTAGCACTAGTACAGCAAAAAATTGTGCTAGCGGTGGTATGCCATCGATTGTAGCAGCTGTCGTGCTCCTTAGTTGCCCCTAGCCCTAGCCATCGCCGCAGTCGCAGCAGAAGCAGGAGTAGTAGCGGCCGTGAGTGTGGTGCAGGGTTTGTAGTAGTGATGGTAGCGGTACTTGCAGCAACCGTGATGGCAGTAGCAGCAGCAGCAGCAGCAGCAGCAGCAGCAGGAGTGCTGGCTATGTAGCAGCTGGTGGGATGGTGATGCGTAGTGCGACACCAGCTGCAGTAGTGGTGGTAGTAGTCGTCCTGTCCTTGTTCTTGTCCTCGTCCTCGGCGTCATCGTAGAAATCGTCCCAGACAAACAGGAGCGAATCCTCGTACAAGTAGCACCAGAAGTCGCTAGCAATATTGTCATACCGGTATAGAGCAACGACAAAACTGATAGTCATCGCAGTAAACGGCGAAACGCCAGTTAGTGAGAATAAGGAGTACAAGAGCAATGCAGCAATACTGAGAGTCTGACTTTCAGCCCATGCATATGCAAGTTTTGAAGTCGTTCAGGTTGTCATCAAGAACCTTGACCTGCAGGTGTGCGAGGGCTTTGGGGTTGCGAGTAAAGGGGCTTCGGAGGCAGTTTTTGCGATTGGGGTGCTTAGGAGCTCAGGTCCACGGGTTTGCACTTAGCATGCGATGTACAGGGACAGGAAGGGGCTTTCTCTGGAATGTGAGTCTGACCGCCGCTGGCTTTGTGTAACGACCTACGAGTTAAGTCATGGCCATGCCCAGTAAGGGGGCTTGCAGTCTATCACCGATCCCCTTGCCATGGCTACCAGCAATCTTCGACCAGTTTTATCACTGATCAACGGCACCGACAGCTGTAACCTTGGTTTGCCTGGGCCTAGACCCTGAACCCTCAACCCTAAAGTCTAAGCCTAAATCCCTTAACCCAAAGCCCTAAACCCTGAAGCCATAATTTCTGCATGGGGCTTTGGGGCCTTGTGAGTCCGGCTTGAAGTGACCCTCTGGCAGGGCGCCACGGCTGCTCCGCCCTTCCACGTGGCCTCGGTGAGCCCTCGTTTAATCTAGTACAGCATCATGTATAGCAAAAGTATAATACAACATAGTATGGCATAGTATAGTGTAGTATAAATTAGTATAGTATAGCATAGTATAGTACATGATCGTTTCGTATGGTATCGTATGATATCGTATCGTACCTTATCGCCTGGTATCGCATGGTATGGTATGGTATGGTATGGTATCGTATGGTACTGTATGGTATCGCATGGTAACTTATGGTATCGTGTCGTGTCGCATCGTATCGTATGGCATTGTATGGTATCATGTGGTATCGCATGAGTGGTTTGTCTACTAGAGTATGGAATGGTATGGTATAGTATTAGAGAAGATGCTAGAAGATTTGCCTGTGTTCTCCTGCCGATGCTCAGCTTCAGTCTTTTCTGGGCATGGGATATGCGGAGCCCCGTTCATTCCAAGCCGTTGGTACTGGTTTCCAGCAAATCTTGTGTACTCCGAGCTTTTTCGGGGTTCTGCATTGGCTGGCATATCTAATTAGTGAACTTGACATGACTTGCAAGGCTCCGAGGAGTGTGGTGGAGTGTACCCATCTTCCCCCTTGATACCCAGAAGCAGCTCACCGGAACTCAAGCCCTCGGCATGGGAGCCCTGCACCTTAAATCCCCCAGGCCCACGACCCTGAGATCTGGAAGCTCGAAGCCACCACGGCTTTCGGAGGTGTACGAGAAGCCAATTGCTGGATGTGTGTTTGCGACCGGCAGGTCTTTCTGGACAAGTTCTCCGGCTCTGGCTGACCGGTTGAATTCACCTGGTCCCTGATTCAAAATGTAAAGAAATCCGTGTTCACACGATCTTTGAAAGCCATCTGACACCAGCCTGTAACTAATAACGAATGTGGTGCATCGCACGGCTGCTCTGAGACATGCATCTGGGTCTGCGATGAAGAGCACGCGTAGCCAAGCCCACCGCGATGAGAATCTAGCCCTAGCCACCAACCAACAGGATAGGGTTCGATTCGGTCATCTGCGCAGATCCCAGGCTCGGCTGCATGTTTCAGATGCTCAGGACACTCTGCCCTGACAGGGCACTCCCTCCCCGCCAAAGTGGGGACATCTCAGGCGTGTGTAGGACGGTGAGATTCCGGCTTCAAGAGGGAGCCGTGTCCTCTCTTCGTCAACCCAGGCTGGCATCAGCCACTGACACTTTCAGAGCACAGCATCAACGAATATCAATGAGTTGGAATGCTTCTCGCACACGGATAGCAGACCGTGCCCAGCTTATGTCATGTTGAGCTGTCCGGACTTAGAGGCCGTTCTGTGCATGCTATTTCCTTACCTGCCCCCAGTGCATTCATGTTGTCAAAGTTGCCCGCAAGCAACACATGCAAACACCGTCAATAGATTACCCATGGTGAGGGTAGGTTGACAATGAGGACAGTCTGACCGTCATAGCTAGGGTTGGTTTCATTGGCTGCAGCCAAATTTCGACAGCAACTTTGCAAGATTTGCTGAGGTGCAGCATGAAACCAACTCGATTTGCCGACCAGATAACGAAGCCTCATCCGGCAGCAAGTGTTTGTCCACCCTGCCCGACGAGAGAACACCCGAGAAAGGGGTCCATGTGCTCGCACTTCTGTGTCGCTCTCGTTCTCTCTCTCTCTCTCCCTCTCTCTCCCTACCCCCATCTAACATCTATCTAGCTCGCCCTTTGTCTCTGTCTCTCTCGCGCTTGTTCTCACTCCAGCACCCGCTCACTCCACTTTCTCTCGCCTGCATTCCTGTAAAGCTAGCTGAGTACGTGAGCCAACTTCACTTCCCCCTTCACCGACTTACATTCTTGACTCATCTCATGCTCATGATCCCTCATTCGGTCGACTGCAAGACCATGCACGGCGCAGTCGGCCCCTACTTTAAATTTGCTTGTGGCGGTTCCAGCGCATGCTGAAGGGTTGCACCCTGGGCTGAGATTCGCACAGCTTTGGACGGATGCGAGCCTTGAGTGGCTACATAATTGAATGAGAACACATGCGCGCACACGCACAGGTGTAGATAATGAAAAGCCCACACGGCGATTTAAATAAGCGCATGCGTATATACAGAAATGGCACGCGTAATTCATGTACCTACGTACATGCATGCATACATGCATACATATACATACGTATAGATATACATATACATATACAT